TTTAGGTATCAGGGTACATGTTTCCTCTGCTCCTGGATCTTAAAAAACTCATCTATGGAGGTTTTCAGGGATGTGATCAGGGGACTAGGAAACACTCCCAACTCTGGGAAGAGGAAATCTGCTTTGTCCTTGCTTTCCCGCTTACTCTCCTCTCTCTGCCATTTATGACCCTCTCATTCTTCAGCACAGGAGATGGGGTTTGTTTCTGTGACTTAGTTTTATTTTCTTCTGAAAGTGGAAAGCCATGGTCTTATAAAAAATGTTTTGTCCAAATCTTTTTGTGTGTCAATAATTATTCTCTGTTTCTGTCAAGCCACGTCTTCTGCAAAACCAGAAAGAGATTCCTTCTTACCCCTCTTCTTTCTTTGCCATTACATCTTTCTCTTAAAACAATAATCATAGAATACTTAGCTGCTTGGAGTGAAGCGATGGTCAATAAGAACTGAGAGAATATTGGGCAAGCTAGGTCTGATGGCATGTTTCTATAATACCAGTTACTTGGGAGGTGGAGGCATGAAAATCTTTTTAGCAATTCTGGAGTTCAAGGCCAGTCTGGGCAACATACTGAGACCCAAGTCTCAAAAACAAAATGAAACATAATATAGGGGTTATGTCTTAATATTATCTATACTTATGAGAAAGAGACTAATAACAATAATTATTATAAGGCTCTCAGCATCCCTGTTCCATCCAAGTGAAACCAGGTCCTTAACCCTAAGAAATAGTGCATGTTCTTGGCTCTTTTGCTGTTCCTTGTGAAGGTAAAATGTCAGAACTTACAATCCCCCATCAAAATAAGCAATCTATCAGTAGAGAACATTGTCTACTAAAAGGTTTTTCTTTTCACCAGAAGTTCAGTTTGTTCATTTGGTTTTTACTGTACTAGGGATTGATCTCAGGGATACTTAACCAGTGAGCTATATCCCCAGCCCTTTTTAGTTTTCATTTTGAGACAAGGTCTCAATAAGGTGCTCAGGCTGGCTTGGAACTCGTAATCCTCTTGTTTCAACCTCCAGAGTTGCTGGGATTACAGGTGTGTGCCACTGAGTCTGGCAAAATCCAGTTTTGAGTGGTTTGGGGAGGTATGATTTTTTTCATTTGATTTGGTTCTAGGAATATGACAGTTTATATAAAGCTGTTACTTGACTGTGAAAAATCTAGGCACAATGAGAGTAACATTCAAATTAGTCTTTTTGCAAGCAGAAACCTATGTAACAGAAAGAATCACATTATTTTTTTCTTCGAAGAGTGTGGCAGCATCTTCAAAGCACCTTGACAGTGTTAACTTCCATCTTGAAATATGTTGAAATTAGTAATAATTACAATATATACAACCAGAGATATGAAAAATTGTGCTCTATATGTATAATAAGAATTGTAATGCATTCTGCTTTCATATATAAATAAAAATAATTACAATAAAGTATTAACTATTCAAGTTTAACAATAGTTATTTACACTTATTGAGTCTTACTATGTATCAGGCACTAAAATGCCTCAATTTAATCATCATAGCAATCTTAAAAGAGGTATATATTTTTTATCCTAAGTTTTAGATGACACAAGTGAGACATAGTTTAAGTAATTTGTACTTATCAAAACTCACATGCTAATATCTATTAGAATTTTATTTGAACTCCAGAACTCTGATGGCAGAGTAAAAGTGCTTAATTAATAAGAGTACACATCATATAATGATTAGGAGGACAATGGCATAAAAATGACTATTTTAGCAATGATAATCTAAAAGCTGATTGTTAAGCTAGTAGATCAGAATAATAATWATTATTTTTTTAGTACCGGGGATTGAACTTAGAGGTACTTGACCACTAAGCCACATCCCCAGCCCTATTTTGTATTTTATTTAAGAGACAAGGTCTCACTGAGTTGCTTAGCAATTCACAGTTGCTAAGCCTGCTTTGAACTCCCTGTCTCAGTCTCCCAAGCTGCTAGGATTACAGGTGTGTGCCACCACGCCCAGCAGGATAAAAATTTTAATGTGAGTTTATTATTATGTAATTCACTAGTTTGCAGGCCAGACATGAGACTAGGTTAGAGAAAGATTTGACTTTCCTGGTATCAAAGGACATTGAGCAGTCTGAAGTTCATGGTCTACTTTTCAGATAATATTTGTAAATAAACAAAATTCACAGGATTGCAAATAAATCAGTTATTTTGAAAGTTATCAAAATATTAAAAAGCAAATTTGTGATATAATATGCTTTTTACAATGTACTACATTGTAAATGTACCTAGCAGCAAGTATAATTATTACTGTATTATGAAAATGCTGAATGATGTGTACAGTATCTTCAGAACCTCAGCAACTGATGTGAAATGAAAATAAATGTGATTACTGTTGGTTAAAAAAAAGAATAAGAAATACAAATGGAAAACAATTACATGAAAAAATGAAAAATGTTCAGCATCCTTAACAACGAAGAAAATGCAAATCAAAACTGCACTGATATTTCACCCCCTCCAGTTAAAATGGCAATCATCAAGAATACAAACAAAAAAGGAACATTGTTCCTGGGATGGCAAATTGGTACAACCACTTTGGAAAACAGCATGGAGATTCTTCAAAGACTAGCAACAGAACCACCACATGACTCAGCTGTCCTGTTCCTTGGTATCTATCCAAAATAACATAAATCAGCTTTTATGTGATAAATTCATACCAATGTTTATAGAAGCACAATTCACAGTATCAAGATATGGAACCAAGCTAGGTGCCTGTCAACAGATGAATGGTATACAAAATATGGCATTTATATACAATTTTTTTTTTTTGTACTGGGGATTGAATTTAGGGGCACTCGACCACCGAGCCCCAGCCCCAGCCCTGTTTTTATTTTATTTAGAGACAGGGTCTCACTGAGTTGCTTAGTGCCAGGTTTCATTCTCGACTAAAACACTCAGGGGTCACTCCAGATAAACTGGGATAACTGGGCTTCGCAAAATAACCACACAAGAGGTTGCTGTGATGGCTCCTCTGACCTTAAGGGTCCACAGGAAGAGAGAGAGCAAGAGACCACATACTGACCCCTTTTATTGAGGAGAAGCTATTCAAATGTGGCAAGGAGTCAGGTTTCAGGGGGCTGAGTCTAGCTTCATGATGTCTGCTGTCATCAGTTGATTGACATCTAGGTAGGCCACACTGTAAGATAAGGGTACACACCAAAGGTGTTTCCATGGAACATTCTATCCCAAACAGAGCAAAGGGTTATATTACAAAGGAACAGGTGAGCATAGCTCCACCCATGGGGCTGTAGCAAGACACACCCATGCAGGAGACACCATCCCTGGAACCCAAGAAGGGTGGGGAAAGCTCTGCCACATTTCTGTGAATGAGCGCCTCAGCACCCAGCCAGGGAGTGTGACTCAGTCACATGCAAGGTTGGTCTCCCATAGCTTAGCACTTTGCTTTTTGCTGAGGCTGGCTTTGAACTTGCAATTCTCCTGCCTCAGCCTTGGGAGCTGCTGGGATAATGGGTATGCACCACTGAGCCTGGCCACAATTGAGTTTTATTCATCCATAAAAAAGAAATTATGTCATTTGTTGGTAAATGAATAGTGAACACCATGGTAAGTGAAATACACCAGAGCCAGGAAGCCATAAGTTGCAGGTTTTCTCTCATAATATGGAGGCTAAAGAGAAATAAAGAAAAGGAATAAAAAAAGGGATTCTGAGACCACACTTTCATATATATATATATATATATATATATATATATATATATATTCATAATGCACTAATTAAAAGATGATGATAACAGAAGGGAGATCAGTAAGTAGAGCAATCAGGTCAGGGGAAGAAGGAAGGGGAGGGAAAGTGAATGTTCTGGGCAATGAGATTGATCAAATTATCTTATGTATGTTTGAATGACATAATTAACCGCACTATTATGTATAATTATAATGCACCAATTACAAAAAACCCTCAAACTAAAATTTCACCCTGGCCCCTTGGTCTAAGGTGTGGCTCAGTGATAGGGTGCTTGATTAAAAAGTCATTTTTTGTCCCCCTCCTTTTAAAACATCAATTTTAGTGCTTATATTCAGGGTATATTACATGCCACTTCAAGGTGAGAGTAGAAATCTGTTGCTTTTTTATAATTCTCATTTTTACATATCCTAAGATCAGGCAACAAACAGGGCAGGAACCTTCATTTCACTGGATGGGAAGGGGGTAGTTCTGAGAGATGAAAATGAGCTCTGATCGTTCCTTCCAAAAATCCACCCTAGCTGCTGCTATTCAAAGCTTGTGGCTTTTAAGACATTCTAAATGCTGCATTCAAATATCAACGGTTTTGTTTTCTCAGAAGAAAAAAAAGGGTAAACATCTAAGGATAACTTATGCCTAAGCACACTGAATCCAAATTGCTTAGCTCTAACAGAACTAGAGGTCAAAGCATTTACACAGGTTTTCTTCGTGGATGATCAAATAATAAAATTACAATAATACAGTTATTACAGGTTGGGTACCAGCCCGGCAGTCTGTTGGTCATTATGTTAAGTGATTTATGTCTTTAATTCTCCAAATGACCTTAGGAAGTCAGCTTTTTTTTAATATTTATTTATTTTAGTTGTAGTTGGACACAATACCTTTATTTTACTTATTTACTTTTATGTGGTGCTGAGGATGGAACCCAGCGCCTCACACGTGCTAGGGGAGCGCTGTACCGCAGAGCCACAACCCCAGCCCCTGAGATCAGCTTTTTTATTCCCATTTTCCAGACGAGAGAATTGAAATCCAGTTAGTAGCTGAGCTGAGGATGGAATGGGAACGACTCCAAAGCTCTCCACACCACGAAAGGCGAAGAAATTAGCGAAAGAATACACCAAAGTAGGAGAGCAGCAGGGAGGAGAGCACACGAAACAGACAGCCACACACGCGCTCGCCGGGGAGCGCACTAATGAGGGGGGGGAGGGGGGGAAGGCGGAGGCGGAGGTGGGATCGTGGATTTCCGGTCTGGCGCCGGAAGTGGCTCCTCAGCGCCGCCGCCAGCTTTCCGCGGAGAAAAGCGCACTGGAGTTTGTGCTGCTAGTGGTGCACGAGGTTCGTGGGTTCTGCTTTTAAACGCGTCTGTAAATCGAGATGTCGCACCCATCCCCAGAAGCTAAGCCTTCCAATCCCAGTAACCCCCGAGTCTTCTTTGACGTGGACATCGGAGAGGAGCGAGGTGAGCGAAGTTGTTGGCTGAAGGGCCCTGAGGAGGAGGGGCTGGGGGCGCTTGGGGGACTCGCAGGCTGCCTTTCGGGCCGGGGTCTGCTCGGTGGCACTGAGGCATGGCTGCCTGGGTCCCATCTGGAGCAAGATCGGCATGCGGCGTGAGGTGGAACCAGGGCTTTTGTGCTAATGCTGTGGGTCATGAGGAAGTTTCTGGAAATTTCTAGTTCAGGAATTGTGGCGGTCTTGATATTTCACTTGCCTTCTACCTGTGCACCACCAGCTTGTCACAAAATAAGCTTATTTTATATTTGCCATGGGGCTCTTCAGAAGCCTCGTGTGTCTGCGGGGCTCCAGTCACTCAACACGTCTTTTGGCGCACAAAATGTGTGTGTGTGTGTGTATGCACATATATGTGCACCTGCCATGTTAATTATAAATTAAAGCCACTTGTTTGCTTAGTGCTTTTTCTTTACTACTAATTTTAGAGGTCAGATAAGCAAACGTTTTTTCTATTTTGGCATTGGGGAATTGAACTCGGGAGTAGCTCTGTTGCCTAGGATACCTACCTGCTTAAAAGTTCCTAAGGCCTTGTGAAGTTACATTTATAACTGAATTGGTCTTCTATAACCTGTTACAATTTCTGACCAGGCAGTGTGTTTGAATGCATCTATGGGACACACACATTTTACATGTACCTTCAGCTTGTTTTGGAGCTAATTCCAAAACAGTTTTGGAATTTTCGCATTTTAAGGCGTTGTATAGAAGAGGAATTTTTTCAGCTTTTATTTCAAAGACTGAACTAGGCAGTTTGCACAAAGTACAGAGAAGGGCTACAGATACATATAAAACTGGACCAGCCTGACCACTGAAAGGGTATTTTATTTTATTTTYTGGTACTGGGGATTGAACTCGAGCACTGGAYCATTGAGCCACATCTTCAGCCCTATTGTATTTATTTAGAGACAAGGCACCTTGCTTTTGCTGAGGCTGACTTTGAACTGAACTTGGGATCCTCCTGCCTCAGCCTCCTGAGATGCTGGGATTACAGGTGTGTGCCACTGTGCCCGGCTTCATTTTTCTCTTAGTGGTTGGTTGGTGATTGGAAATTCTGAATACAGTTTATTTRGGGGCTCATGGTTTCATAGCTCTTAGTGCATAGACATCTGGCTCTAGTCCTGGGGGCTTTGAAGTGAGGTTGAACATCATGGCAAAGAGTGTGGTGGAGGGAAGCAGCTCACATGATGATCAGAAGCAAAGAGAGACTCCATTCACCAGATATATTATGTACCCTAAAGGGATGCCCCCAGTGACCCACCTCTTCCAGCCACACCCTACCTGCTTTGGGTTAACTGAGTGATAACTTAAACCCTATCAGGGGATTAATTCAGTGATTGGGTTAAGGCTTTTATAACCTCTTTCATTTTACCTCTAAGCCTTCTTGAATCGTCTCACACATGAACTTCTGTGGAACACCTCACATTCCAAACCATAACACCAAGGGAAATTAAATTTGTATATTGAGATTTCTGCATTCCCGTGTACTGCAGCATTATTTGCAATAGCAGAAATAATAGCATCAACTCTGTAATGTCAGTGGATGATTAGATAAAATATGTACACACACACACACACACACACACCAAGGAGTATACTATTCAACCCTAAAAAAAGAAGGAAATAGTGTCATTTGCGATATGGAAGAACCGTGAGGACATTATGTTTAAGGGAAATAAGCCAAATACAGGAAGACAAATACCACATGATCTCACCTGAATGTGTCATCTAAAAAAGTTGAACTCATAGAAGTAGAGAGTAGAATGGTAGCTACCAGGGGCTAGGGAGAGGTTGCTCAAATGATATTCAGTTGATGGAGCTATATGTTCATGATATATATTTTTTAATATTTTTGTTTTAATTGTACATGGACACAGTGCCTTTACTTTATTTATTCTTTTGTGGTGCTGAGGATTGAACCCAGTGCCTCACTTGTGCTAGGCAAGTATTCTACCACTGAGCTACAACTCCAGCCTCTAAGTTCATGATCTTTTGTACAACATTGTGATTATAGTTAATAACAATTATTGTGTTCTTGAAATTACCAAAAAAAAAAAAAAAAGACCAAGAGAATTTAGTAATTCATGAGTGATTTGTTACCATAGTTGTACCAATTATCCTTTTGTCATTTGGTGGTTTGTTTTTGCATACTGACACAATTTCATTTTCTTTTCTTTTAGTTGGTCGAATAGTCTTAGAATTGTTTGCAGATATTGTACCCAAAACTGCAGAAAATTTTCGTGCATTGTGCACAGGAGAAAAAGGCATYGGACCCACGACTGGGAAACCTCTCTATTTCAAAGGATGTCCTTTTCATCGAAGTATGTATACATTTTCTGAATCTACTTTCAAACAGACAAATTCTGTTCTTCAGGAGATAGGGAAGAAAACATTGAGATGGGAAGAAAGGTTAAAAAGTACTGATGTAGTTAGTTCCTAAGAGGATGCTTTGACATGAGAAGTAATAGCTCAATTTCATAAAGACTGGACTGTGAAGTGGAATTAATTATGGGCGAGTACTAGGGTTTATCTATAGGGAAATGGACTACACCTGTCTTCACAAGTTTTTCTTCACTCCCAAACCATTTGATTGAGAAAGAAAGAGCATAGCYATGATAAAGTGAGCTGGCCTTAGGTGACAGAAAAGTTATTTTTACTTCTTGGGCAGGATTGCTTGAGAAGGCTGCAGATTGTAGATTCAGTGTCTTGGACACACTGGTGATTAAAGTATATCATTTTGCACTTTGTAATCATTCTTTTATTTAGTGTTTACTTAACAGTTTCCTCAATAGACTGAAGGTTCTATAAGTTTAACTATATGTTCTTATCACTTTGTCTTTAGCACCTTGTATAATTATTGAGTAATCACTCAGTAAATGTTTATTTATGAATAACATGAATACATTTTTTTTGTTTTTGCAGTGCCTCACTGCAAGCACTCTATCAYTGAGCTATACCCTCAGTCCTGTGGTTATGTTTTTTTAAAAATAATTTATTAAGAAAAATTAGGATCAATTATTAAATGTTTTAAGCATTTATTTGCTTATGTGTTTCATAAGACATCAATGTGCTAACAGAATATATGTAGAAAATAGTTAACATAGCAGGCCCAAGGCTGCTATCCTTATAAAGGTCTGCTTCCAAGAGTAGCACTTAGCTGGAGTTTGGGAGCCTTGCACTTAAACCATTCCTTAAATCATAAGGGTGATTTACTGTCTCTAGACCGTTTGTACAAATGTATAACTTATGTTGAATATCTGCTTTCTTTTTCTTTTTGGGAGTCTGGAATTTTGGAATATGCTAGGCAGAGTATCTATGTGATAAGGCCTCCATAAATACCTGGGATGCTCAGTCTCTAATTGGCTTTCTTGGGTACAACTGTTGTACATGTTTCTACATCTTCATTGCTGGGAGAAATGTGTTCCATGATACTTCATGGGAGGGAGGCAGCATRATGAAGCCTGCACATGGATTTCTTCAGATCCTGCCTATGTCTTTTTCCAGCTGTGTATCCTTATGATTATAATACAATCAAATGTTGAGACCATGAGTCCTAGGGATCTCTGAACATGGGAGTGATTTTGGTTGCTCTTGATATAAAGGGATAATTTTACTGAAGTATTTTTATTAGGGTGTAAAAAATACTAGGACTAATTGGTCTTCATTCAGCAAACATTATTGAATAGCTACATACATAGTTACAAGGAAGAAAAAGAGTTGCTGTACTTAAAGAACTCATTGGTGGAAGAAATAGATCATTATGTAAGATGAAGTTAGAGTCAAGATATGTTGGAGAAAACTTAAGATATCCAGATTTTGGGTTTCATTGACAGTTTTACTTGTAGGTGATCAGGTGGTAAAATGTAGATTGGACTCAGATTGCAAAAAGTATAGAGTTGTTAAGATAGGTGAAAAGAAAACCAAAGATTAAATGTTCTCTCTGATATGTGGATGCTGATTCACAAAAGGAAGTGGAAAGGAGTGGAGGGGATTGGAATGGGGGGAAGGAGGAGAAGGGAGTGGGAATGGGAATGGGCAAGACAGTAGAATGATTTGGACATAACTTTCCTATGTTCATGTATAGATACATGACCAGTATAACTCCACATGTACAACCACAAGAATGGGAAGTTGTACTCCATGTATGTATGATATGTAAAGTACATTCTACTGTCATGTGTAACTAAAAAGAATAAATAAAAAAGATAGGTGGAGAAAGACAAATGGGAGGATGTTGTGACTAAAATGCTTTAGGAAGTTGTCTTTATTATTACCTATTCATTAGTTAATATGGCTGAAGCTTTCCACGTGTCAGTCACTAATAGCCATTCTCCTTTTTTTGTAGTTATTAAGAAATTTATGATTCAGGGTGGAGACTTCTCAAATCAGAATGGGACAGGTGGWGAAAGTATTTATGGTGAAAAATTTGAAGATGAAAATTTCTACTATAAGGTAAAGTAGAGGAGAAAGTGTATATTTTTGCTAACATAAAGGTTATAACACATGTGAAATATATTTGTTGGATATTTTTAAAATACCAAAAAAAGACCTTAAGTATGCCTAGATTATGCTTTACTTATAAAAGGAATCATATTTGTAAATGTGCTTTTTTTTTGTGGTGCTTGGACTTTTAAATCTAGGGTCTTACACATACTAGGCAAGCCCTTACCACTGAGTTACATCACCAGCCCAGCATCCATCTTAATATAGAAGGTCTTCATCCAGTTATAATTTTTATTTGTCAAAAATACTCTATTATTTCTTTGTGGTAGAGTTTTTACATGCTTTGTTTAAGCCAATGAGTTCTCTTAAGATATGTGATAAGGCCCCAATAAATACCTGGGATGCTGAGTCTCTAATTGGCTTGATAAAATGAGCCCATATGGCAAATTGATTCCAGGAAAAATGTTTTTGTTGTAAAGATGATAATTTGTGCATCTTTATTCTTGAATTTGAAGAGCAACAAAAATCATCGCTAATATCCATGATGTCAGGGGATTTGCAAACTAGTGGATGTGGTTAATGTCCAAGCTTCTAAAGGACATTAGTGGTACCTGTGCCTTCTYCATTGGCTCAAGATCTAATCGGGGTATATTGCATCATTCAAGTTTTAAGAATGGACATGTAAGTACAAAAGTAAAGTGATATCTTTGGAAATGAGGAATATGAGCAAGGTAATGAGGAAAGTTTGAAAAGCAAATGTCATCATTCTTTTAAATAGTACTTATTGATGTAGTTGTATGCTCAGTTCTATCACTGGAACCAGAAAGATTATAAAAATGAAATGACAAGGAATTTATAATTTTACCTTGGAGACAAGATTTAAAAATATGGGACAACTAGAGAATAATAAGATACAAATAAATTCTAAATTGAGTGAATATACTTAACTTGTATAAATTTGATCCAGGTTGAGGATCCCTTGTATGAAATGCTGAGAAACAGAAGTGTTTCAGGTTTTGGAGTTCCTTGGATTTTGGAATATTTGCATCTGCTTTCCCAGTTAAGCATCCCTAATCCCCAAGTCTGAAATCTGAATTTGTGAATGCTACTGCACAAAAATTCAGATTTTGGAGTCTTAGATTTTGGATTTTCACATTAGGGATTCACAACTCAGTAATATAAACTTTATGTGTGCTCTGGGGCAAGGATGTGATTTATATGGCCCAAGTTATTAAAGGAGACATTGAGGAGGAATGGGTAAGCCTGGCCTTGCAAGGTGACTGAAATTTTTTTAGGCAAGAAATAAAATAAGGGGCTGGGGATGTGGCTGAAGCAGTGGCGCGCTCGCCTGGCGGCATGCGTGTGGCCMGAGTTCSATCCTCAGCACCACATACAAAAACAAAGATGTGTCCGCCGAAAACTAAAAAAAAAATATTAAAAAATTCTCTCTCTCTCTCTCTCTCTCTCTCTTAAAAAAAAAAAAAAAAGAAAAAAAGAAAGAAAAAAAGTAAAATTGAAGGATTATGGATGAGGACAAAGACAGTGGAAAACTGAGAAAAGTAGTTAAAATTATAGCTAATATTTTTGGGAAAGCACCAAAAGAAGCTAATGGAAGAATGTAAACCAAGATAATGTAATGATTTCATGCATACCAAAAAAAAAAAAAAAAAGGGAAGCTTCTGGAAAGGAGACCTGCTTCTTCTATAATTTTGGTAGCCTTGAAAGCTGAATTATTTACACTGGAGAGATAAAAGGCATTTTAGGTGGAAAAACTTAGAGAGTTAGAATTTATCACCAATGAGGAGGTATTTACAAAGCCGAAGAAATAAAATAGAAAAACGAAGTTTTCATGACAGAACTATTGAACAAGGTAGAATTTTGATTTCAAGATGTAGGTAGCAGTTTCCTTTGTACACTCCCTGAAGAGTTAATTTACCTGATATAAAAGCCACAAGGTTTAGATTCTTTTGTGATTAGGAAAGTACCTTAACTGAATGACTAGTCAAATTCAATATCCCATTACTGTTCCCAGTTGATGGATGTGTAAAGGAAGAATAATAATGTAGGCCTATTACTGAATGTGGGAAAACCCTTCAAGTCTTCAAGAGCATCCATCATAAAAGGGTAGAAATATATTATTAGATTATTTTAAAGATGAAGTATAAGCATCTTCTTAAAGTGACCAATTTAGAAATTAACCCCCATTTCAGTTATTTGATTTCATTAGCTTTTCCTAAAGTTTAAGAAGTTATCAAATACCCCCTATTTTGTTCATCGAAGGTTTCATTTTATACAAAGTAAAGGTAATAGAACATTTCTTAAATAAAAGTACAGTCTGGGTATGTAACTTAGTGTTAAAATACTTGCCTAGTATGCTAGAGGCCCTGGATTCAGTCCTAGTACCACAAAACAAAAACAAAGTAAAGAAAGAAAAATTAGTTTGATTTAATGGTAGAATGACTCATGTTACCAACTATCCTGACTTTATGTGAGTGGTCAGTAAAAGAACAGTTTAGATTAATACCCTAACTTTCATTTTCTTTGAATGATTTTTTTTTTTCCTACAGCATGATCGGGAGGGTTTATTGAGCATGGCAAACGCAGGCCGAAATACAAATGGTTCTCAGTTCTTTATCACGACAGTTCCGACTCCTCATTTGGATGGGAAGCATGTGGTGTTTGGCCAAGTAATTAAAGGCATAGGTGTGGCAAGGATGCTGGAAAATGTAGAAGTGAAAGGTGAAAAACCTGTCAAAGTAAGTAAAAAGTTATAGTGAAATATACATATTGTCATAGTTTCTATCTTAAAATGTTCTAGTGATTATTAGCTGGAAAAATTGGAAAATGTTAGGATGATTTTGATTTAGGAGCCTGCATCTATCACTTTATTTTTGTACCTATTGTCTAAAGGAAGCTTTTTAATTCTTATTTCAAATTTAATGTATTTTTGCTAGATTACTTAAAAGTCTCCCTATACCAGCAAAAGTTTTGATCCAGACTGTGTAATAATACACAGTAGAAAAAGGATAGCAAACCTAGATTCTTATTCTAGAGATTKGGCCTTGATCATTTTACTGAATTTTTTTGGCCTGTTTTCCTCATCCTTTGTTCCTAAAGTGTTTAGACTGTATGATTTCTGAAGATACTTGTGTTCTAGATGTCTGTGAATCAGAATGACCATAGTATTGTGCATCTTAAGTTGTAAGTGGGCATTGGAAACTTAGTTACTTGTAGGAGGCAAGCTTTGGAATTCAGAGTATGAAGGGAATTATAGTAAATTAAAAGTTCATACCTCACCAAAAGATAATTAACATGGAGAATGGTAAAATTAACAATTTACTATGTGTACACTGAGCTTCTGAATACTTAAGTAGATAGTGATATTGTTAT